CTTAGCCCAGTGCCTTGACCCACTTACTTCCCAGCTCCACCCTCCACCACGATAACCCTTCTCATCTACCAAGTCCCTTCAGAAAATATCTTCCATTGTCCAACCCATGATCTGACAGTTTGTATCTTAAGCTTTCTTACAATTAGTTTGGGATTTTTATAACTAAAGGAAGTTTTGATGATCTAATAGTAAGCAGTTGTGCCACCTACTCAAAGGCAGGCAGCTTGAATCTTCAAGATGTTACACTGGAAAAATGTGGACACTCCTGAAATGCAATTTATAGTCCCTGGAAACATACTGTATGGTCAGCTAGAGACAGTTCTGACTTGATCAAGATGTACAACAATAATGTAAAGCTGACCCAGACAACATGGTTTTAATTTACACCCATAATGGACTTTACACAGCTTAGTCTTGATTACACTAACTAGTCAGCATCCAAATAAAGCAGCCACAACTTTCCCTAGTAGCTTATTCTCTGAGTTATTAAACACTAGGAGACCAGAGTGTGTCTTCTTAGTACATTCATGGATGTCAAACTGAGAAAGACATATTAAAAGAGAGATACAGAAAGAATGATAGAGACAAATGCAGAACAATGTATGAGAACAGCGGAGCAAAAAGAGAGAAAGCCATTTTGATAGAAAGATGGAAACAGACAACATTAACTAGAAAGACAAACACAAAGAGGAGACACATGTCTTGGGAGACAGAAACAGAAATAGATAAATAGAGCTAGAAATGCAAAATCAGAAAGAGATGGTTATTAGGGCCAGGTAGAAGCAGAGGAAAGATAACAGAAAAGGAGATTAATCTACATATAAAAAAAGACTTCATACATATTCAGTCTGCAAACTGAGAAAATAATTTCGTTTTTGGCCTTTGTGAAGAAGAATGTGGCATTAGGATCAGAGACTAATGAAAAACCTACGTTATGCAGATAACACAAACTCTTGACACATATTATGTCTTAATATCAAGAAGACAACAATCCTTATCACTGGATCAACAGACAATATTATGATAGATGGAGAAAAGAATGAAATTGTCAACAATTTCATCTTACTTTCATCCACAGTCAACATCCTTTGTACTAGCAGTCAGGAAATCAAAAGATTCTTTTGATTTTGCTGCACCTCATGAAAGGGTCAAGTGACAATGTCAGTTTGAAAGTGCCTGGTCCAGGTCATGGTCTTTTCAGTATCTCCCTGTGCATCTGAAAATTGGACAATGATTAAGATTGAGACAAGAATTTGTGCCTTTGAGTTGTATTGTTAGAGAAGAGCACTGAATATCCCATGGACTGCCAAGCGAACAGATTAGTATTTCTTAGAGAAAGTGCAAGAATGATGCTCCTTGGAGGCAAGCATGGTGAAGCTTAATCTCACATGTTTTAGGCAGGTTGTAAGGAGGGGCTGGTCCTTGGAAAAAGATATCATGCTTGGAAAGGTAGAGGATCAGTAATAAAGAGGAAGACCCTCAGCAAGATGGATTGACCCAGTAACTGTAACAATGGGCTCGAGTATCAGAGTTAATGAGGATGGAACAGGATAAGGCATAGCTCAGGTTCTTTGTTTGTAGGGTTGCCAATGTGTCCTCATTGATTCAAAGGCATATTTCAACAATAAGAGAGAGACAGAGACAATAAATCATGAAAAGGAAAAAGGTATACGTTAAATTACTCAAAACAAAGAAAACAAAACCAAAAACAAATAAAACCCCTTAACTTCATTACTGTAGAGTCATAACTCATTCAAAGATGGCATGGTTTGTGGAAGTTATAAACATGTATGAGGTGATTGGTTAGCTTTCTTCCCTGGGACTGCTGGTGGATTTGAATTGACCACCTCTATGTAGTTAGCAGCACAATTCCCTTCACAAGCTCTATATGATGAAAGAAAGGTAAAGATAAGCACTTGTGATAAACAAAGGTTTAGAGAGAACAAAAAGTAATAAAGGGGCTGCAAGTCATTCATGAAGAAACAAGATACACATAGACTCAGAGTATGATTATCAGAAAAAAGGATGATCCAGGGAAAGAAATAAAGGAGAAGAAAGGGAGATTAGAAAGATGGAAGTTAAGTGGTTGTAAAGAATGTGCAAGAGAATCACTTCTCTGAAACATGCAATCCAAGCCTCATGTGATGTATTTGAGGTTGGCAAGAAGCATTATTACTTTTGCTTCCTGTAGCAAGGAAGATATTTCCTCCTTTCCCTTCCTTTTATCAAAGGACATTGATGACATAGTGCAAAAATATTAGGCTGCTAACTGAGGGGTATTGGTTCAAATCCACAAGTTGCTCATTGAGAAAACGATGAGTTGTCCCCTCTGGTAATGATTTAAAGCCTCATCAATTCAGTAGAGGGTTGTTGTTATATACACTTAAGTCAACTATGATGTATAACAACCCTATGAACAATGACTTTATACCCTGCCCAATTGAAGATAGATCTTCTTTGAGACAAACAGACACTGCCATCTCTGGGACAGAGTTCTACTTCAACACATCTACAGTTTTCTTGAATTAAAATTAACTGGATTGGTAATAAACTTTTCTTATTAGGACAATAATTTTCAATTTAATTTTAATTTGATTTTTTAATCCTTTTATTACCAGACTTTTCAGATAAGAAGTGTGAAGAATCTCAACTTGTCACTCATTTGATGCCTGGACTGGAAAGTAGAACTGCTGTATCTCCATTTGCTTGCCTGTCTAATATCACTGATCAAGATTTATTTGACATTAATGTGGTAGATGATGTATGTCAATTTTATTGTGAAATTACTGCTTATCCTTCCTGTTAATTTATTAAAGACAAATAATAATTACATGATCATATATAGCAGTGTGTGGTGCAAGGAATCACAGAAGTGACTTGTGATCTTATTAAGGGGTGGCTGGAGGAAGGAGGATTTGTCCAGGTAGCCAAGTGTGCAAGCAATGGGGATGTAATAGGGAAAGGGAAGAGATAAATCACACGTGCTTGGGGATAGGGGAGACAATGAATGCATTGGTTATTTCTGTAAGAGAAGTATCTTTTTTATCTGCTCGGTAAAAATGCTTGTATGTCAGATATTGTTCTAACATTAAGTATCCAAATTAAGACAGACTAGGAAAAAAAGATTTGCCATCCACTTACAAAATATAACAGTCCTTCAAAAACTGTGGAGAATAGAGCACTCTTAGACTAGCAGATATGGCAATGAAGCTGAGCACTCAAATTTGGAAACACAAAGGAGGAGAAACAGTTGTAAGAAGACATTAACAATTGGTACATGGAATGTGAGAAGCATGAATGTAGGAAAACTAGACATTGTAAAGAGAGAAAAGGAAGGCATAAACATTGACAAATTTGGTATTAGCAAAATGAGATGAATTGGCATGGGACATTTTGGATCCCATGATTACATGATCTATTATGCTGCAGATGAAAATGTGTGGAAAAAATGGTGTCGCTTTCATGGTTAAAAAGACCATTTCTCGATCCATTTTGAAATACAGTATTGTGAATGACAGGATAATACCCCCGTAACACATACAAAGAAGACCTGTCAATACCATTATCATTCAAATTTATGCGCCCACAACCAGAATCAAAGAGGAGGAAATAGAAGATTTCTATCAACTGTTGCAGTCAGAAATCAACAGAACATGTAACCACGATGCATAAATAAAATTGGGTGACTTGAATGCAAAAGTTGGGAACCAAGAAGAATCAGTAGTCAGAAAATATGGACTTGATGACAGAAAAGAGGTTGGGGATAGAATTATAGAATTATGTATAGTCAGTGACTTATATAACAAATAACTTTTGCAAGAAACATAAATGCAGGCTATACACATGGATTTCACTTAATGAGATGCACAGAAATCAGATTACTTTTATCTGTGGAAGGACTCATTAGAGAAGTTCAATAGCAGCAGTGAAACCTAGCCCAGTTGCTGATTGTGGAACAGACCATCAACTGTTCATATGCAAGTTCCAATTAAAGCTAAAGAAGGTTAAATCAGATCCATAGAAATCAAAATTTGACCTTGAGTCTATCCCCCACTAATTTAAAAATCAAATCAGGAATAGGTTTGAGGACTTGAACACTATTAAACTAAAACCAAATGAGCTGTGGGACGATATCAAGAATATAGTTCATGAAGCATGGAAAAAAGTCATTACAAAGAAGGAAGAAGAACAAAAGACCAAAATGGATGTCAGAAGAGACTCTGAATATTGCACCAGAGTGCCAAGAAGCCAAAGTAAAGAGAAGAAATCAGTAAGTTAAGAAACTGTGTAGAAGATATCAAAGGACAGCTTGGCCTTTATTTAGCAAGGAAAATATTATAATGAAATGTGCAAGGAGCTGAAGTCAGAAAATTAAAGGGGCTGTATTCACTCAGCATTTCTTAAGCTGAAGGAACTAGAGAACAAATTCAAGCCATGAGTTGCAATGCTTAGGGATGCTATAAACAGAATATTGAATTATTCAGGAAATAGTAAAAGAAGATGGAAGGAGTATGCAGAGTGATTACACCAGAAAGAATTGGCTGACATAGAAAAATTTCAAGAAACAATATATAAGGAAGAGGCAATTGTTATGAAGGTTCCGTTCAGGTTTCTCTGAGGGACTTGGAAAATAAAAATGTCCTAGGAATTGATAGAATACCAATTGACATAGTTCAGCAAACAGATGCTGCCCTGCATGTGCTCACCAAGTTGTACCAAGAAACCTGGAGGACAATTAGTAGGCCAACTAACTGGAAGAGATACATATTTATTACCATTCCAAAAAAAATTAAGTGAACTGACAGAGTGTGTGAATTATCAAACAATATTGCTAATATCACACACTTGCAAAATCCTGCTGGAGATTGTCCAGAAATGATTGGAACAATATATTGACAGAGAATTACCAGAAATACAAGCTGAGTTTAGAAGAGGTGGTGACACTAGAGACATTATTGCCAATGTCAGATGAATCTTGGCAGAAAGCAGAGAGTACTAGAAGAACGTCTATCTGTGTTTCAGTGACTATGCAAAGGCCTTTAACTGTGTGGATCACAACAAACTATGGCTAATCTTTAGGAAAATGGGAATCCCAGAACACTTGATTGTGCTTCTGTTAAGGAAACATTGCATGATTCAAAATCAGAAAAGGAGTGTATCAGGAATGCATCCTGTCCCCACATTTTCAATCTGTATTCAGAATAGATCATTCAGGAAGCAGGGCTTTATGAAGAGGAGGGTGACATTAAGATTGGAGGAAGACTCATCAATAACCTATGATATGCAGAATACATAACCTTGCTTGCTGCAACTGAAGCACTTGATGCAGAAGGTCAAAGTCTATAGACTGGATACAAAAGTGCATCTAATCCAGGCCAAGATCTTCTTTGGACAATGATTAAGGATGAGGGAAGAATAGATGCATTTGAGTTGTGGCTTTAGAGATAAGTCTTGGGCAAACCATGAACAGCCAAGAAAATAAATTGGTCGGTCTTGGAGAGGGTGAAACCAAATTTCTCATTGGAGGCTAGGATTATGAAGCTCCGTCTCACATATTTTGGGTATGTGGCCAGGAGAGACTGGTCCTTGGAGAAGAACATCATGTTCAGAGGGGTAGAGGGACAGCACAAGAGAGGAAGACCCCAGAGGAGATGGATGTGGGGCAATGGAGGTTGGTGTGTCAGAATTAGTCAGACTGGCTCAGGACAGGGAAGGGTTCAGAGCTGATATACAAAGGGTCACTATGTATTGCGGGGGACTCAATGGCACATAACAGTAAAAACATACTATATTAGTTGTTTGATTTTTTTTTTTTTATTATTTAAGCCTCAGGTTTAGAGTCAACAAGACCTCGGGGAAGACCTTTTTATTTAAAATTCAGTTGTTGTTATATTTCAGAGGAACATTCTTCTAAGTGGTACAGAACTCTTCTGTCAATATGTGGAACTGAAGTAACCTGGGTTTGCTGTGATGCTGAACTTTGTGCCATTGGGGTGTCAAATTTCATAAGAGTTACATTTGGTGGACAGTGTTTGGTAGAGCTCCCAGTTTAAGACAAGTGTGGAAGCAGGATTGGCTTCCACTTCCTAAACAGCATGCCTCTGGAAACTGTGAACTTTACTAAATGGTGACAGTTGTGGCAGAGCCTCAGACCTTTTGTTCATAGGGTTGCTAGGAGTTGTGCTTGACTCGACAGCAATCAGCAACAACAAGACAACAACATTTACAAAGGTCTAGTAGAATAATCTCAATCATATTCCAGAATAATAGGTCTTACACTTACATGGAAATGGTTGCTTTTTTTATATTTAGTGATTTTTAAAAATGGATGAGGATGATGCCAGCCTCCTCAGTGTTTAATTCTGCCATTTGTTTTTCACTTGAATTAGTCAAGAAAACTAATGGCAATGTCTCAATTAATCAACATGTCTAAATGAAATCTTACTATGAGAATCATTAGAATATAAACCTTTGTTACACAAAGGGTCAACCACAAACGAGAAAGTAGCATTTAGTGTCATCTGTTAAAAATACAAAATCTAAGTTTAAATGAATGTTTCAGATTGAGAAGCTTTCTGACCAACCATTTGAATACAGTTTTATTTCTTTCTCCTTATTTTTGTGTTCCCTTCACTGCATCGCACAATGTAGAAACTCCTTTAATAAGTATCAAATACTTATTGTTGTTAAGAAGGCTTAAAAGAAATGAGACCTCTGCTTCTATGAGGCCCCAATAGTTTTTCAACAGAAATTTTGCATGAACTGATCTTTGAATGACATCAGGGTTCGTAGAATAGGCCCTCTCCATTCCATTGGGTTTCCGAGGCTGTAAATTAGGCAAGAGACGAATGCTCATCTTTGTATCTCAAGCCTCTACACCACTAGAACTCTTGATAAAATAGGTCAGAGAAAAAGAACAAAAACCTCAGCAGGATGGATTGACACCATGACTGCAGCAATAAGCGGCATTATGAGAATTATGATTATGAGAAAGCACAGGTTTAGGAAGAATTTCATTTTGTTGTACAGTCACCCTGTTTTGGAATCAACTTCATGGCATCTAACAGCAACAACAATGATGACCTTGGAGATTATATATACTAACTGGTGTCAAATCATTTCCCAAAGTAAGTTGTTTTTCTCCTAGAAGGAAGTATAAGGGAAATAGTAAATGTCAAAGAAAGGATAAAATTATTATATGTAGCTAACACCAATGCAAGTGACCTTTGGTGGCAAACGAAAGGCATATGATACAAATTCCCTAACTACTCCAGAGAAGCAATAGGGGAACAAAAAAAATATATGCAATTTCCTGTCTAGTGATTAACAGACTCTGAAAATCCACTGGAGGCTCAGCTATGAGTCAGTTCCAACTCTATGGTACATATCACCACCACCACTAATGTCAGTGTTGTAAACTCTGAATCTAAAATGTATAATCTATTATATATTTGTAAGATTGTTAAAATGCCTTCTCAATTTTAAATTTCCAAGAATTTGGAAGGAACAATCCATTAAATAAAAAAAACCCAAACCCCAAACAGTTATAATATTTTTCTTTTTTATCCATTTTGTTGAAATATTTATAAAGTTTAAATGAATTCAATGTAGTTTGGATGTCTGACATTGATTTGTTTTATATATATGTGTGTGTGTGTGTGTGTGTGTGTGTGTGTGTGTGTATAACATACATACATGCATATGTTGTTATGTACCATAGAGTCAGAATTGACCCATAGCTGACCCTCCAGCAGGTAATTGCATGGGAGGAATATATATATCACTCTTGGTAGAGCAGTCAGAAAATCAAAAGATAAATTGCATTGGGAAAATCTGCTGTCAGGGACTGCTCCAGAATAATGAAGAACAATGATGTCACTCTAGACACTAAGGTGTACATAATTCAGGCCATGGTCTTTTCAATTACTTGCTATGCATCAGATAACTGCTCAAAGACTAAGGATGTAGACGAATTGATTCATTGAGTTTAGTTTGCAGTTCTAGAGAAGAGTATTGAATATACCATGGTCTGCTAAGAACAAAGAGGTTTGTCTTGGAAAGAGTGAAACCAGGCTGTTCCTTAGAGCTTTGTCTTTGAAGCTCTGTCTCACATACTTTGGGTATATTGCCAGGAGAGACTAGTCTTTAGAGAAGGACAGCATGCTTGGAAATGTTGTTGATGGACAGCACAAGAGAAGAAGATCCTGGATGAGATGGATTAAGTCAGTGACTCAGGTAATGAAAGTAGGTGTGTTGGAGACCATGAGATTGACTCAAGATTGAACATGATTTATAGCTGTTGTACTATGTCACTATGAAATTCAAGCAACTTGATGGACATAACAATGTTGAGTTACAAGGTGCTATTGAATAATCCTATAAACAAAGAATCTGAAGTACTTCCAATCCTCTGCCATCCTCACAATTTCCAATAAACTTGAGCTCATTATTACTATGTCAATCCATTTATTTGAGGTTCTGTCTCTCTTCCTCTTACTTTCCACTTTTCCTAGCATGATACCTTTTTCAAAGGACTAATCCCTCATGAAAACAAAAAAAGCTTGTCCCAAATTTGTGAGATCGAGTTTCACTACTGTTGACTCTAAGGACACACTTTTATTTTATTTCCTTCAAGATAGCCTTTTTGATCTTTTGGGAATCTATGGGTTATAAAATACTCTTTCCCAAAACTGCAATTCAAAGGCTTTGATTCTTCTCCTTTCATAGTTATTCACTCTACAACCTTCAAATGCATATAACCAGTTGGAAAATTTTGGCTCAGATTAGATTAACCTTAGTCTTTAAACTGGCACTATCTCTTTAGCGTATTGGAGAGGTCCTAATATATATGAACTGTTATTTTATAGTTGAAGGGATATCATTAACAAAGTTAAATATATTTTAAAATAAAAATATATTTTAAAATAGATTAAGCTACGTCTCAAAAATAAAGACTAATAATTTAAAATATCTACTTTTCTTCAGGCTATGTTACGAACAATTAGTGTGAATGTGAAAGATATTCCTTTCCTTCAGTTGAATAAATATGATAAAAATGGACGAAAATGTCCATTGAACGGCTATGCATTAAACTTCTACAAACATGGTTCCTTGTCACTACTGACTTTGGACAACTGGTAAGAATTTTAACTATTTAACATTGCTTTCTGTGTATGTTTAATGAATTATTTATTGCGCTATGGTATTGTCCTGGAAGCAGGAGCGGCATCCACTTCCCAAATGGCTTGCCTCCGGAAACTCTATGTAGGAACAGTGCTCAGGCTGTTCGTTCATAGGGTCGCTATGAGTCGTCTACGACTCGACGGCATTAAACAACAACAACAACATGGTATTGTCACTTGTGGAGAATAACTTAATATCCTTTATATTGCATTATTTGTGACTTTTTTATTGTACATGAAATATTCAAATTTAGTAAAATTAACATGACAATACACAAAGAACAAAATGTCTTATGTTTGTTTTATTTTAACCAAATGATCTACATCTCTTGGATACATTTTAGGACTAACTCTTAATAGTAAAATACTAGAAGGAAAATACATCAACACTTTTGAGTTATACTTCTATATTCATATTTTTAAATATCTGAGCTCACTCTTGCTAGACATATTTTAAGAAAGAGAGTATGAAAAAGCCCAACAATCCGGAGATATTTTATTATATCCTTTATAGTGTGTTGAAGTAGTTTTCAAGGCCATATGGGAAAGGAGTTGCATTGCCAACTCAAAAGCAGGAAATTTGAATTCACCAACTACTCAGTAGAAGACAGATAGGAAATCACCTCCCTCGGGATATACAGCCTCTGAAAACCTGCTGGAGGGTCAGCAATGGGGCAGTGTTGACTTGATTGCATAGAGTTGAATGTTGCTTACAGTAGGTTGAGAGTTTGAGTGCACACATGCATGGGCAAGTATACACTTTTGCATACACATACACACAAACACACTTTGTTTTCTTAATTACTTGTCCTTGTTTTCCTCTAGGTTAAATATGGGAGATGCTTTTAATTTAATCAGGGATTTTTTCCTTGTTATCCAGTCAATCAGGTACAGTAGACATTTCTGTATTTCCAGATTATATAACCAGTTAAACCACAATGACAATCACTGAACACTTTAATCTTTTGTAGGATTTCACTACGTGAATTATGTGATAATGAAAATGACAATGTTGTGTTGGCATTTAAACAACTAAGTGAAGAATTTCGGAAAAAGTTTTATAAAAATGGAAAATATTGATGGTGGTGAAAATTGTCACAATGCTATGCTCCAGGAATAAAAGAATGATCAAAACATCTTCCTGCTCATTTATGTTTCAGAAAAATTACTTACTACGAAGAATCACCATTTGCCATACAACCCAAAAAAGACTCAGGGATGATCATTATATTTATCTCTGACCAGGCCAGACACAGGCCCTCAAAATTCCCCTTCTTTGTCTCCTAAAGTGATTTAACTAAATGGTTTGTACTTGCGGACTAATATGAACAAAATTATTTCCTAACTTCACTAAACTTTAGTTAGGTTTCTTTCTTTCAAAACTGACAATTGAATTTTTATCTATTTTCAACAAAGCCAGCACTTACCATAAGTCCCTCCTTTAATAACTGCCTTAAAAATCAACTGACCACAAAAATATTCAGTAACCACCTGTTTCATCTTATGCCACTACCTCTTGATTCTTTCTAGCCTTGTTTACTAAGGAGCATTGGTTGAACTGTTAAACAAAAGTTTGGCAGTTCAAATCCATCAGCTACTCTGATGATGAAAGACGGGCAGTCTCCTCACTTAAAGATTGATCATTGCTATGAGTTAGAATCCCCCTGACTGAAGTGAGTTGATTTGTTTTAGTTTTTTCATAGTGATTACTTTTTGCTGTGTATTCTTTCTTTGATTAAGAAGCCCTGGTGGTTAGTGCATAAAATATCAGACTGTTAACTGAGAGTCTAGAGGTTTGAACCCACCAACTAGAAGAAAGATGAACAGTTTCCATCTGTAAAGATCTATAGCTTCAGAAGCCTTAGGAAATTGGCTATGAATTGACAATAATTCAGTAACAGTGGGGCTCTTAGCATTTCTTTGTATCTTGTTTAAATTGGATTTTCTCTGTTGTAGAATCATATCTCCTTCTCTTTACATTTTACTCCTAGTTTGTGATTTAGATATATATTTTACCAAAATTAAATTTCTATTAGTATTTTTCTTTTTATGATGTTAATTTGGTGGATCTATAAAGACAGAAAAGACTAGGCTTTACTGAATTCACAAAGTATAATAAACTCTAAAATACACTGTATGGATTACAGTAAGACATAACATGAATGAATACATTAAAAAATTGAAAATCAATGTGATACACAATAAAAGGCTTATCAAGACATTATAAATAGTGCATCATATTAATGTAATAAAACAAAATGTCCATGAATGATTTAATGTAAAGTCAATTATGATTTATGAACTTTTATTCAAAAATAAAATAAAGTATAAAGATGTGAAATAATGACTACAGTTTTTCTTGCATTGCTGGAGCAAATAGTTTGATTAGGCACTGACTGAAACAAAATCAAGTAGAGATAAGTTGCCTCTACCAGAACGGTAGTCACATACACATAATTACCCACATATACTTCTGCATGTCTGCCCACATATCCATAATTTTATATCTAGGTCCCCTTTATATGTTGCTGTCATGTGCCACTGAGTCAGAACTAACTCAAAGCAGACCTTCCCACAGGTTTTCAGAGGCTATAAATTACATGGGATAATATTACCTATCTTTTCTCTGCAGAGCACCTGGTTGATTTGAACCACCTGCTAATAGCATGGCAGAGGAACTTCTTACCACTAAGCCACCAGTTCTCCATCAATGGTTTAGATTTAGATAATTTTATTTCAATACATTTTTAAAATTTGTCATTTACAAGTTATTACATTGCTTATGTACATAATAGAATAAAACTTGATAGCTTACAATTTCATCAACAGACTTTTTAAAATTTTGAATAACTGTGAATGAAGATAGAAAATATGACCACATACTTTTGTTATAACGCTACTTATAGAAAATTTTATCACAAAATCTAGATGTTGGATGTATATCTTTCTTTCTTTAGTCATTAACAAACCCAGCACAGACAGCAAACAGGGATTTCTCATAATGTCCTGGAGCAAAATTCTACTAATAGAGAAACAAATTAAAATAAAATTTTAATTTATCTGAAATGCATTCTTTTTAAATTTTATTTAATTATTTTTGTGTGTCTGTACCATCAAATCGTACCTGACTGGTAGAGGAGGAGATTGCCCCTTCTTCTCTAGCAGAGCATCTGGTGGATTTGTACCTCTGGGATTACAGTACAGCTTCTTGCCACTAGGCCACCAGAGCTGCCTCTGAAATTCCTTTTAAAAGGCTTAGTTTTTTTAGTGAAATTGGCTCAGTGTAAGGCAGGGTTCAGAACTCTTGTACATAGGTTGGCTATGAGTCACAGGGGACTCCATGGCACATAACAACAACGTGGTCCTTTCTAAATTTATTTCTTTCCTCATTTAAAGATTTATAGTGTCCTAAGAACAATGCCCAGTGGGAATTATTGAAAAATGACATAACATTTATAATAGACCTAATATGATTTAAGTGAAGTTGATTGGCCTCTAATATGTATTTAAGGAAGTAATAACTTATGGTTGGCTAAAATCATATCCACAAGCTTAGAAATATTTAGCCTAACATTATTGCTATAAATCAGTCTAGAGACCCAAGGAGAGCCAACCGACATGTATCTCAAGACACTCAAATTTTTTTATATTCATAAATGCAAATATATATATATAAAGCAAA